AGATGACCAACCAGCTAGGTGGTCCTAAACCATGAGACAACACCGACTCGCACTTGCTGGTCATCTGGCAGACTCTAACTACCTAGGTAGTATTTCTACCTATGGCGATTTCCCACCCACCCATGCGGTCTCCGCAGGTGGCCTCGAGCAGTGAACTTACCCCTTAAGCATCATGAACCATTCAATCCTACCTGCTACAATGTCCCTGTACCCCTCCCAACACACTCATCCCATATGAGACAGCCTTACCCTCGTGACTCTAAACGTACACGAGGGGGGACCACCCTTAGACCTAGTACTCTTTGTGCCACCCCCTCTCCCTGTGAGATTTCCCATCTAGCCGGAAAACAACTGTGGTCCCCAAACACGAGATAGTAACTTCCACAAGGGGAGGCAGGGATTATTAGTCTAGGGATCCCGGGGTCTGCGTATCATATTACCATATTGATATTACAACGACCATTTCAAGTTCATCAAAATTGACATTTTTTATTTTTTGAACGAAATTGAAACCGAGTTCTTTTTTCGAAAACTCGTCAAAATTTGTTGTTCCTGAGGGTCCGGCGTTTGTAAAACGCTTGACCCCCTGGCTGTACATGGACCTAGCTTGAGATCAGGTACCTCCAGGCAGTCCTGCCTGGAGGTACCTGATCTCAAGCTAGGTCCATATACAGCCAGGGGTCCTGCCTGGAGGTACCTGATCTCAAGCTAGGTCCATGTACAGCCAGGGGGTCAAGCGTTTTACAAACGCCGGACCCTCAGGAACAACAAATTTTGACAAGTTTTTAGCCAAAAAAACTCGGTTTCAATTTCGTTCAAAAAATAAAAAATGTCCATTTTGACGAAATGGCTGTTTTGCTATGTATCATTAGACCCTACTACATACTATTATGTACATGCGAGGCTCGAGTAGGGTTCAACGGGGTTCGTCAAGGTTTCGTTACATAGCACCATGATAGGCCTTATTGTTCTGCAAGTTCTAATCGGGACTAATAACCACATATGCACAAACACACGCACAACCATGACCTGATACGCTAAAATGAAACCCTATGTCCCCCCTCGCCCCCCCCCCCCACTACCTCCCCCTACCTCCCCCGTAAAGTGATAACCAAAATAGACATGAGATCATCGGATCAACGAACAGCAAACCCTTGGGCGGTGCGCAAGCAGTGTCTATATAAACTTACCATACATCGTCTCAATGGGGTGTGCGAATGACTGGGCGCTATGGACACGCTTGACGGTGGATGCGCGCGAATAAAGTGCAAATTCAGTCGTTGGACCCCCTACGCATGCTCTACCTTCAATATCATAGACGACCTCATTATACCCGACTGTGCCTAAAACTGACATTTGCCACTTTTCCTTAATTGAATTGCTTATTGTCGATCACAAATCCAGAACACGCAAAGAGAGTGACAGGACGTGCACGCACGCGCGCGCGCGCGCGCGAGAGAGAGAGAGAGAGAGAGAGAGAGAGAGAGAGAGGAGACGAATGCCAACTTCAAAAGTAACACAAAATGTGGTTGCGTCAAATTACCGAAAGTTTACAATTGAACTACGAGAAGGCTTGGACTTGGCAGCCGTAAGCTAAAAAGCACGCGAAGTGCAAAGCACGTCATGACAACCAATACGTTCGAAAACCAAAAATAAAATAAAATAATAATAATAAAATAACCTATTTGTGAGAAGAACAAAACTACCACTGATCTATCGTAATCCAGACCCCCACACTAACAGTTGTTTTCATTTCAAATTCTAATTAAAAACGTAAGACACAAAAACAGCAACGGTGCGAACCCCCCTCCGGCGCTAGCGAAGCCAGCCGAATATTGCCAGATAGGCAGCCATGAAGACATGCTCAACAAGGAGGACGGAAACGGCCGGCAACAGGATTACCAACAATAGGGCGTCCACGTGGGAAAACGAGGATGCACGGGGTGAAGGTCGCATAACAAGTTCCACGTCTCCGTCGGGGAGGGCACGAACCCCGTTTCTACCTCTCCCGTGTAGCCTTCGCTATCTCCAAAATGTCATGGCACATGAGCTTGCTCACATCGTACGATATCGTGTAGTGCTTTTTCTAGATCTCAAGCTTCACTTTCATGGCTTCGCACTACCGAATTTGGATGGAGCACTGCCTTTTGTTAGCGCTCTCCATTGTCGTCGCCATTAGCATCGCGTGCTTCTCCATGCACTCCGTCATAACTTCGAAAGTCTGCTGCCTCATGTTCTTCCTTTTGCCGAAACTGCCAGGGTTACCCGTCGTTGGTGAAGAACCTTCCGTGGAGTTGTCATCTTCTTCGTTGCCGTCGCCACCTCCGTCCCCATCGCCCACAAATTCAGGCCCGCCAGAACAACCGGACTACAACTGCACACCACGAGAATTGCCTATGTCGGTGACATTCTTTGGGTGAATGTTGTGACTCTTCGTGGCCGACCCCTTGATCTCCTCATACACGGCCTGATCCATGGTGAAACTGAAGCCATTCGCTGACCTCTCCTTCCTTGTTAATTGAAAGAAGTCTTGTCTCCTAGACTCCCCTTGGAACAAGTGCACCTTTTTGAACTGCTGCATCAAGTTGTCCGATTTCTTCCCGCACTTGTTTGCTGTCCTCTCAATGCCCACCTTCTTTAACCTCTCGTGAACATTCGCCCACTTCCATTCCCTCGGCTTTGTGTGAGCTTACGCATGACCCATCCCCTACAAATGCGCATCCTGCTTCGGCTTCGCCCCGATGAGGGCAACTATGTGTTCGACTGACCAGAAGTTCCGCCCGCCCTCGACCTCCACATCGCCTTCGCCCTTGCTCCCTGCAGGTGCCGCTTTTTCTCCCCGTCACGCAGTCCAGGCAGAAGCCTTGCTGTTCTTGTGTCGACCACCCATGGATTTCTTCCGCTACGGATAAACGTCGCCCATCTCATCGTCCTATCATTCCTCGTCCTCGATGACGTCCTCGTAATCGTTGGCGTCCTGTACCGACGACTCCTTCTCTGTGTTCAACTCCTGCACATGCAATCACTGCACCCCCCGTGTTATCGACTCCTCGCATTCTCGACGCACCTGGTGCTGATGTTCCGCCCACATGCCTCCCATCCCGTTCCCCACCACCGCCTGCGAAATCTTCGTTCGTCACCCCGCACTCAGGCGTGTGGCTTCCCTTGCTGGCAACTCCCGACAACGGCGATGGAGGATGCATGCACTTTGGATGACCGCCGACAACACGTACTGCTGATGCTAGCGCCGACTGCACTCTCGGACGCTCCCTTCTCTTATCTGATGCGGCCCAGTCTCCGGAGGAAGCCTTTGCAGATCGGCCGACTAGCATCACTTGCCTTGCGTCGTCATTAGGGTGCGGGTTGACGTGGACAGTCCGTGTGGCAGCCGATGAGCTCCCGCTACACAACCCGAATGGTAGATTAATGCTGCCAGCCATGTCACTTTCACGCACACCTACTTCTAGGAGTTCAGTGAAGGATTGCCGAGACATCGTCTCACGACTCCCATACAACTGGCTTCCCGCCCACTCCTGGGTGGACCCACTCCCCAGCGCCACAGTCTGTGACCGTGCTTCCTCTGCCTCCTCATTTGACGTATCGGGGAGAGGTTGCTCATGCGGTGGCAGGTGCGCGTATGCAGACAGGTCGTACGCCCTCGCACTACTTGCCGGGAAGTGGCGTGCGTGGTGGCTTGCGAAACGGTCCACTGAAGACTTGTTCTTCGCTTGCCGCCCGTTGATGATGACACCCTTCTTCGCTGAGCGCCACTTGCGTGTGCGTCCAGGCAGCCTGCCGAGGATGCAGATGTGGAGACAATGAGAAGGACAAGCACAATGATTGCCAGGAGCAGCAGTGGCAGCCTTCGGAAGACGTCGGCCATGAAAGACACGAGGGGAAGGGCAGCAACTACACCACGCCGGTACGCCTCCAGCAAACGGTGATGAACAAGGCAACAAACGGCAGATCGCAGAATCCAACAAACGCCCTCTAATGTTTTGCGTCGTGGAGCACAGCTGAGAATAGAAATATCGGTTAAATAAAATATTCAAATTTGCCGACCGTTCGACCCCTTTCTGTTTGGCTGCACGCACTGTGAGGGAGAACACTGGTCGACAACGTTCGCGGGGGCTGGACAGCCACCAACGGTTGCCGCTGGCGTAACGTTCCTGGAACCCGAACTTTCTGAACCCAAGATGTCCCTGTGGTGGCCGGTAGGTACTCCAATTGACCAGCGGACAAAAAATTATTGCCGCCTATGGCTGCCCTCCCCGCTTCGATTATGGCGGATCCTTGACCTCTGAGGTTCCGTGGGGAAGGCCACAAAATGGCTGTAGCCCGAGGACGCCCAGAGGAGAGGAATCCCAGACAAAACGTTTTCACATTTTCTTCTCGTTTCATCCCCAAGCATAGGTGAAACTCCGGGGAGGATGCATCTTACCACTTTCTACGGCAGATGCATTCATTGTCTTTTTGTTTGTACCGTGGTGTGGCCAGGGCCTTGAATTTTCTTCTGGTCTCCAATTTCGACACGCTGTGTGGCCAAGAGAAACTTTCGAAAATCGTGTTCTCGACAGTGGTGTGGCAAGGCCCCTGAACCGCATCCTTAGGGCTGCGTAATGTGGGACCAGGCCCTAAGAAAAAATCGCTTCGGGGGCCCAACTGGTAAAGGGCGTTCTTGAAACGGGGGCATCTCAGTAATTTTTCCCTTTTCTAAATTTGAGTAAGAAAGTGAAGTAATTGGAGGAGGGAGGAGGAGGGGCAGGCAGCCCTGATCCAGATGGACGTTAGGCCATCTACGCGTCAGCGGATATGCCACCACCCTTGACCCGGAGTCGGTGACTAGAAGGGGTCTGTAGGTTGAGAGGGTCTGAGGGGTGAGAGAGAAAAAAAATCAATTATCTGGTAAACACGCCCACGTGGCCGTGGTGACCTGGCCTTATCCGGCCACGTGTCACGTGGTTAGAGACGAGATTCGCTTAGCCGATCGTAAGGAGTGGAAGCGCGGGAAAGATTTTGAAAGCGTCGGAAATATTTTGAAAGCGCGGGAAGGATTGGAACAGATTGAGCTGGGCACGTGTCTGGGCGAATCCAGGTCGTCGTCGCGTTCGCCGCCGCTGCCGCCCTCGCCGTCGTTCCCGGTATCTGGGCATTACGGGAGTTCTTCTTCCGTACAATGTCCGCAATTGTACTGACAGTATTGGTCTGTCATTGAGGCATTGAGGGGGGAAGGTTTCCGTACAGTTTGCCGTACAATTTTGAGAAGATTGTTTGTACGGTCAAGAAGCTTATTGTTGTCGAGAGTGGAGCGGACGGCGATGGCGGCGCCGGGCAGATGCGCCGCCGCCGCGAGTTCCTCTCGTCTTGTGCCCGTGGAGATCTTTTCCCGCCAAAAGATCGTACGACTTCCCGCCGCCGCGGCCATCGCTGGACGATGGACAGGACGATCAGCCGCGTCAGCCGATGGCTCTCGGATAGGCCACGTGTCAAGATCCCGACGCGCCAGCTCATCATCCTCCACTTCCGTACGCGCGTCCAGTTCCTCTTCTTCCGATAGGCCACGTGTCAAGATCCCGACGCGTCGGGATCTTGTGGGCGACGAATCCCGGTCGCTTCGTCACACAGCGGCCGCCGCCGCCGCGGCGGCCATCGCCAGCTCCTCCTCGTTGCCATCGCCATTTTCATCGCAAGCTGGCTGTTCGTCGGAGTCGTGTCCCGCGCTTTTTTGGCGTGAAGCGAGAGGACGGCCACCCTCGATTGCTCCCGTCCTCAGGAAGAGCAGACAGCATGGAGGAGGAGGGGGAGGGGTGGTTGGGGGGGGTTATGGTGAGGTGGCATTGGCGGGACCAAGTAGTCTACTTGCCGGCTGGGATGGCGGGAAGATACGCCAACGACTCGGCGTGCAATGCCCCGCCGACCGGTCCGATCACCTCAACCTGAGAATTGGCGGGAATCTGTACAGGAAATTCGCGGGAGGGTCTCACGGAAAACCGCGTGTTTGTGGAGGAGGAGGAGGAGCCACGTGTGCTTGCCGAGGGGAAGCGGCGGCGCGCCTTGTCCATGGAGGAAGAGGAGGAGGAGGAGGAGGAGGAGTAGGAGGAGGGAGTGGGTGTGAGGGTCTGCGCTCACTTCATCGCGACGAGGGGGAACGGCAACGTGGCTATCGAGCAATGTGCCACCTGGCAAGTGGTCCCCACTCTGCAATTCAGATAGACGAGGATGAGAAGCAGCAGGAACAGCTGCTGCAGCGGGAGGAAGAGGAAAAGGGCGGGAAATCGGAGGAGCTCAGATCTGCTTCCCGCCAATATCCTTTCAGCGAGATCGAAGCCAAGTGGCAGTCGATCTGGGAGGAGGAGAAGATTTTCCGCACTCCTGATGACGTGGACATGACAAAACCCAAGTACTACGTATTGGATATGTTTCCATACCCAAGGTTTGAACTTTATTTATTTATTTATTTGGCTGGTTTTTATTGTCGGTTTGACCACTCTAATTCGTTTATGTAATCTTTTTTTTTTTTTTTTTTTTTTTTTTATAATAACCAACTGGCCTATCTCAGCGGGTACACTCATGAACTGTTGAAATAGACTAACCCGAGTTCGAATCCGACTGCAATTAGATGAGTAAAAGCTAACTCTGAATTTTTGCTGTAGTGGGGTCGGTCACCTCAAAGATGATGTCTAACAGGCAAATTGGAACTATTCAGAGAATATATATATATTTGTGACGATCTATATGTATATATGTATATATATGTATATACATATATATCGTCTATATATCGTCACAAACAGAACTGCCCGGTAAACCGTAGGCAGAGAGAGAGAAGAGGACAACAAACGAGGGGCTGTGACAAACTGTTTCGTCGGAGTTTCACCGACTGACTCATCAGGAGGCTGAACCCTCAACAGTCTGCAGAATCCCCTCACTGATTACACTGTAAATGATAATCTACCTTAACCAAAATCAAAGTAGACTATCACTCACCCACACCAGATGGAAAACTCTACAGACTGTCGGTTCATATATATATATATCGTCTATATATATATATATCTTTGTGACGATATATAGTCAAACAGAGCTGCCCGGTGAACCGTAGAGGCCGAGAGGGAGAAGAGGAAGAGGACAACAAAGGGGGGGCTGTGACAAACTGTTTCTTGGGAGTTTCACCGACTCATTTGTGACGATATATATACATATATATATATATATTGTCACAAAACTATTGCCTAGAAGAAGAAATAAGATAAGAGAAGAAAAGAAAAATGAAAGGACAGAGAGGCAAAGAGACAGACAAATTAGAATGACACAAAGCAGTGTCCTCTTCTTCTTTGTTTCACTGTATTCTTATTTCTTTCAGTGTTTTACAATTTCTTTTTTACACTGAACAAAGTATAAAAATCACAAACAAAGACGCATTGAAATCATTCAAATTTTCACTCTTCTTAACTCCTCCTCCACCGTGCCTCTACCGTACAAGGCTCGCCACATTGATGAAGTATATATCCTATTGCCTTTCCCCCTTTGTTTAGGGGTATTTTGTTTTGCGGACCTACTGTATGGTTCCGTTTTTTTAACTATGGTTATGGTARAATGTTTCTTTTGAATGAGAATCTTGTCTGCTTCAATTCCGGTTGATTCTGTCCCCTTATTTGGTCTATCTTAGGGAGGAGGGATGGCGGTGCTTCATGTGGGATTGGTTATCGGGTTATCGTTTTGCAGGCAAGTGTTCTGACATCCTGGTTGGCTTGGTTGTTTCCCGTTGTTTKGCCCTTTGAGCGCGGGGCGGTGCTGTATGTGGGAATCGTCATCCGGGATTGTCTTCTCCTTCTTTTTGGTTGTCACATTGTGGATTGGAGCCTTTTTTTTTGTTTTGCTGATTTTGTCTGTACCTCGGTTGGTTTGGTCCCGTTGTTCGGGCTATCTTATGGGCGTGGCTGTGCTTTCACGTGGGACCAGCCATTCGGGTTTTTGGCATCCTGGTTGGTTGTTTCCCGTTGTTCGGCCCTTT